CCTATTCTATTTTATTCCTATTCTATTTTATTCCTATTCTATTTTATTCCTATTCTATTTTATTCCTACTCTATTCTATTTTATTCCTATTCTATTCTATTTTATTCCTATTTCTATTTCTTTTTCTATTCCTATTCCATTCTATTTCATTCCTATTCCTTTTTTTATTCCTATTCCATTCTTTTATTCCTATTCTATTCTATTTTATTCCTATTCTATTTTATTCCTATTCTATTCTATTTTATTCCTATTTCTATTTCTTTTTCTATTCCTATTCCATTCTATTTCATTCCTATTCTATTTTATTCCTATTCCTATTCCTTTTTTTATTCCTATTCCATTCTTTTATTCCTATTCTATTCTATTTTATTCCTATTCTATTTTATTCCTATTCTATTCTATTTTATTTCTATTCCTATTCCTTTTTCTATTCCTATTCCATTCTATTTTATTCCTATTCTATTTTATTCCTATTTTATTCTATTTTATTTCTATTCCTATTCCTTTTTCTATTCCTATTCCATTCTATTTTATTCCTATTCTGTTATATTCTATTCTATTTTATTCCTATTCTATTCTATTCTTATGACCTCCAGTGATGAAGGAGCACCCACAACTTTTGGTGGCCAGCTGTTCCACTGGTTAATTGTCCTCACTGTTGGATTAAGTTTCTCCTCAGTTCTAGGTTGCTTCTCTCCTTGGTTAGTTTCCAAGCATTGCCCTCCCTCCTTCCAATAGAACCCTAGAATAACAGAGTTGGAAGGGATCTTGGAGGTCTTCTAGTCCAACCCCTGCTTAAAGAAACTGAACAGCCACCTCTCCTAAACAATATAGGGTCTCCCCTTGAGCATGGGATTGGACTAGAAGACCTCCAAGGTCCCTTGCAGCTCTATTCTGATAGTCTGATTGAAACACAAAAGCAGGTCCTATTCCAGGCGTCTTAAAGCATCTGCTTTTTGCTGTTTCCATTCAGCTGAAAACGGGACTTACCAGAGCTCATCTAGTGGCCGTTAGAGGTTACAGCAGCACTGGAAAAAGTGGCCGAGGACTGTTATTCACACTGATGAGCATGGCAGCATCCCCATGGACACACCACCAACATCCGGCCGCTTGGCGACTGACTCAGATTTATGACGGTTGCACTGTCTCCGGGGTCACGTGATTTCCCCCTCTGCAACCTTCTCACAAGCCAAGCCAACGGGGGAAGCTGAATTCCATTAACACACCGTGTGTCTAGCTTAGCGACTGCAGTGATTCTCTCAACAACGGTGGCAAGAAAGGTCCGTTAAGACGGGACAAAACTCCCTGAACAACTGCCTTGCTTAGCAATGGAAGATTTGGTCGTAAGCCGGAGGACCGCCCGGAGAGGCTGCTGGCTTTCAGATCCGCTGCTCCCGTCGGAGTCCCTTAGCTGATGTTTGATTTTAAGCCACGAACCGCTGAACAGTTACAAGCCTGAAAGCTCTGAAGACTTTGAAAAACTCTTCCCGTTTTATTAGCCGATAATTCCCCACTTTGGGGGAAAATGGAGAAAAAAACCCTGGTGGTTTTGTTCTTCCCAGTCCAAACACGTAGAAAGCAAAACACCCAATTTTCTTTTTTTTTGGGTGTTAAGTGTCAATCAAACATCCTCCGTTTCCAGAACCAAGCAGGAGATCTCAAGAACTTACAAAGGGCTCCTTTGTGGCTCTTCTCCTACCTGGGGCAGAGATGGGATTCTCATCCGGCTGGCTTAACCTTCAGAAAGCCCACCTGGGAGGGGGCTCGAGAGGCCCACTGGGCCTGCTGTCCCACCCCCCCACCCCCGCAGCGGCCGTCAGAAAGTCCTTGCTGGTGGGCCCCAGCTGCTACCTTAAGTAGTAGTCGATCACTGCGGAGAAAGCGGCAAAACCTCCACAGCCAAGCACCCCAGCTTTGAGGCCAGCTGCAAGGAAATAAGAAGAACGCGATCATTCATTTACGATTCATTGGTTCGGTTCACAGGTAGTCCTCGCTTAGCAACCGTTCCAAGTTACGATGGAACTCCCCGGAGCTACCGACCAGCCAGTTTTCCCGCTCCCCAGGGCTATGGGATTGCATTGCAACAGCCACATTTATGGCTGTTTGCGGTATAACCAATAATGGGTTCGCTTAGTGACCATGTTCACATCACCACCCACCATGTTCTTTTATGGTAGCATTTACTTGATGCATTTGCAAAAAAGAAAAATTGGGTGGGCTCATGTGGTGAGCACACCCAATTACACCCACACCTACTTAATGACTGGCAGAACTTACAACCGTCATTCTGGGCTCGGTTAGGGTCGTTAATTCGAGGACTACCTGTATAAAGCCACCCATTTCAGTTTTACGTGACTCTAGGCGGCTTACAGTAAAACGCGCAATATTAAATGAAAATAAAACACAGCACTATCTAACCAATCATTCGCACAGCGCGGAGATGATCTCTTATCACTAGCTGGGTTCCCCAAGCTCAGGGATCAAAAAACCAAGTTTCAAGGCCTCATGAAAGGCCGAAAGGGAGACCTTGCCGGCTGGGGAATTCTGGGAGTTGAAGTCCACCAGGCTTAAGGTTGCCAAGGTTGGAGACCCCTGACCTAGAGGATTGAGAATCCCCATAGACATCCCCCCTCCTCACAAATTGAAATCAATCCGGTTCAACATAAAGAACTTAAGAGTGTATTGAATGCTGCTAAGTACACATCAGAGCTTGGGATTTGGAAAAGGAAATCTCTCTGCTGGCTCGGCTCCCTTTCAAAAATGAAATAACTAAAGACTCCCACTGCCAACGAGGCACTCGCCTCGTTTGAACCCTGCATAATATTACACTTTCTTCCACCTTGGCATCCTCGGGAGACGCGTGAGCTGCGTATCCCAGGAACGGTGGCATGCTGCCCACGTTCTGGCAAGCCGATGGCTTGGCTTCTGCCAGCAGCAGCAGCAGCCGCGGCTGTGTGCCAAGGGCAGCGGCTTCCTCGTGCAGGAATGCCTGGGCCCCCATCCCACCCTGAAGCCTCTCCAAATTGCTTGGAAGGCAGCACTCACCTCTGAAGCCGATGGCCCCGCCGGTGATGCATCCGCTGGTGACGCTGTTCTTCCAATCGGATTTGCCTCGGTACTAGGGAAGAGAGAAAAGAGGCGGTCGAGAGGTTTAACATCCTTTCTAAAACGTTGGGCTGCTTCCTCCACTTGCACAATAGAACAGAATAACAGAGTTGGAAGGGAGCCTGGAGGTCCTCTAGTCCAACCCCCTGCTCAGGCAGGATACCCTATGCCGTTGCAGGCAAATGGTTGTCCAATCTCTTCTTTAAAGCTTTAAAGAATTTGCAACTTCTAGAGGCAAGCAGTTCCACTGATTAATTGTTCTCACTGTCAGGAAATTCCTCCTCAGTTCATTAAAGAGAGAATTAAGGAGAAATTTCCAGAGTGTGGGAACAATTAATGGAACAGCTTGCCTCCCAGAGGTGTGGCTGCTCCATTGCTGGAGGTTTTCAACGATAAGACTGGACAACCGTTTGCCCAGGATGGTATAAAGTCTCCTACCTTGAGGAGGGGGGGTTGGACTAGAAGACCTCCAAGGTTCCTTCCAGCCTTACGTTCTATGATCTTGTTTTGCTTCCCTTAAAAAAAAACGAGAGGAGGAAGGGTGACAGTCTCCGTCCTTCTGCGTCCTTGTAACCAGAGCTGCCCACATCCTGTTTTTAGAGCTCTTTTCTTAGCACCGTCTGACTTAGAAGATTGGGAGGATCCGTAATGCATTAATGTTCTTTTTTTAAAAAAAAAACATTAATGCATTGCGGATCCTCCCAATCTTCTAAGT